ATCAAGAAGTGAGCGAGCGACGCTATGTGTTCGCTCACCTCCCGATCTATTGAGCCGACGTGTGGCAGTTTCATTGTCACGGGTCGGCTAGAACTATGAGGCTGACTTTTCACTCGCCTCATAGTTCTCCTTTTAAAGAGTGTATAATATTGTGAGACGTTGTGTATTTTCATCTTTTAGGGCAGGTTCACACCATTTTCTGGACCAGATCTGGAACGCAGTGAATTGGGTTTTTGCCGCGTTTGGAAACTTTAAAAAAAATGTTTTGCTTAAAATGGTCTTACAGGTGCGTTCCAGTGCATTTTCGAGGCGTTTTTAATGCGTTCCAGTGCATTCCAGACCAGACAAGATAGGACAAGCAGTATTTTTCTGGTCTGGTCTGGAACGGACTGCGCTGGTGTGAACAGAGCCCAGAAATAGCATAGCGATGCATTTTGGATCCGGAAACAATCTGGTCTGGTCTGGAGAGGATCCAGACATGGTGCGCATGGGCCCTTAGCCCTCGATGATGGGGTGCACACCCCATGATTCAGTAGGTAATAGAGAGTTTTGTCATAACATGCTGGTATTGCTCTTTCTGGTTCTGCAGTTTCTGGCCATGAATGTTGGTGTTCCTTGCTGTTCTCATGGCTGTGTGTATAGGAGGGTGAGGGTTTGAGGAATGGGAGTGCTGTGGCATGTTGTCATCATTCCTGACATAGGCTTTCTATAAGTAGATCGATATAATAGAGTACCACCCTCCTATAACGGAGTACCACCTTCTATACATAAAGAGGTTGTAAACCTAAGGTTGACTTTAGAGGAGTGCCACGTATAGCACACACTAGCATGTATAAAGGGTTCATTTTGTACTCTATAATGGTGGCTCTTGAGAACTGTGTTGTCACCTGTGGCTTAGTTATGTTGGAGCAAAGTAAAGGATTGACTCGCTCAACTTTGCTCCTATAATGTATTTGCATGCAACATTATGTTGCTCTTAGAAAAGTTCTTCAAGGAACTCAAAGGTTCAGTCCCCTCAAAAGACAGATCCAAAGTGTTCCAGGGTTACCTGCATTGGGAGCTAAGCCGGGGCTGGACAGATCCCAAGAGCAAGGTAGCCAATGCTCCTTCAAAATGACAACCAGCTCCGTACTTTTGAGGTTTTCGCTAGTTGTTGTCAATGGAGCTGGATCCTAAAATAACTCCTGCTGACTCCTGGATTAGACAGATTGGCTCCACGCATTGGAGGTTCTTTTACTAACAGAATGGAGACTGTTCACCTAGCAGGATGTTCACCCTAAAGGTGCCCATACACTGCACGATTCTCGTAGGAGAATCGTGGGAAATCCCGCGATCGTACGAGAATCGTGCAGTGTATGGAAGGCGTGCGACCGTTTCTAATGTATGGTCGAACGACTTTTGTATTTGGAGCATGTTGGAAAACCCGCCGAGAATCGTACGATTTTTCGGCTGGTTTTTAACATGATCGAGAGATGACTGCCGAACGGGCCGGTGTGCGTATGCGTACACTGCCCGTTCAGCATTGCAGTCATCGGAAGCCCACCCCTCAGGGGACGGGTTTGCGATGATCGCAAGTACGATCTGCCTGTCCAAGATGGGCAGATCGTATGGGTTCTTTTTTTTGTTTTTGTTTTTGTTTTTTTTATAAATCACTTTACAACCCTCGCAAGACAAAAGTCTTGCAAGGGTTGTAAAGTGTATGGGCACCTTAAGACTTTTATGCTTGCTTTGCAATGTGAATGCTACTGGACCAGGTGGATCTGTGTTGTATAAGAGTAATAAAAAAAATATGTGTGTGTGTGTATATAAATATATATACACACCGTGTTTCCCCAAAAATAAGACAGTTTTCGGGGGATGTCTTACCTGGCTGCAGCTGTGCTCTGCCGTCCAGGGAGCCACAAACAGGTGGGCGGGCATGCGTGCGGCCGGGGGGGCGTGTCTGGCAGGGGGGCGGGAGGGAGCTGCCTCTCCGCTCGGAACTAAGGAGACGAGGGGGCGGGCATGCGTGCTGCTGGAGGGGGGGCGTGTCGGGTAGGGGGCGGGAGGGAGCTGCCTCTCCGCTCTGATGTCGTCATCCAGAGAGCAACAGCGTGCGGGTAGGTGGACGGGCGAGGGGGCGGGAGGGAGCTGCGGCCGGTCTTCACAGCTACCCCGGAAGTAAGATCTAGCGCTATCTTCGGGGATGTCTGTAATATAAGACCTACCCCGAACTAGGTCTTATTTTCGGGGTAGGTCTTATATTACAGACATCCCCGAAGATAGCGCTAGGTCTTATTTTCGGGGGATGTCTTACTTTCGGGGATATATATATATATATAAATTTTGTAGCATTCAGAGTGAATAAAGCACCGACTTATTTACCAACCTTTATTTGGCAAGGTCAGCATACACTTTTCAAAGTGAACAGCCTCTGTTCCTTAAGTAAATCAACTCCATTGTGTATTATGTCATGTTTATGGCTGTGATAAATATGCTGCTCAGTACAATGTGTTTTTATTTTTCAAACCTGCAGAAGCAGCAAATAACATCCAGGTAGATACTGATGAAATAAGACTGTAGTATTTATAGTCCTGTTTTGCATATTTGCATCCAAGCAGCAGTTCAGGGAGGCACTAAGGGCTTGTTCACACCAATTGCGGTGCGTTCCAGAGCGGTAGCACCACAATCGCTCACAAAACTTCCCCCTGTGTTCTGGGGTGGGAGAGGGCAAAATAGAGCAAGCAGCATTTTTTTTTGCATTTGCAGTGGAACGGAAACGCAGGTAATGTTTTGCCACGCATCCGATCGCACTGCGGGCGGGGGGAGGCGTGGAAGCGGTGCCATTGACTTCAATGCACCACCACGCCCCCTCCCGCCCCAGAACGAAGGGGGAAGTTTTGTGAGCGATTTGTGGTGCGTTCCAGCAGCTACCGCTCTTGAGCGCACCGCGGTTGGTGTGAACAAGCCCTAATACTACAGGGATTCCCAAAGATTTACTAGAGCTTTAAATGCTTTTCTTTTTGGCAACCTTTTAAAGCAACACCCCGCTCTTTCCTTCAGAGGGTTCAGTTATTCTGGGCATTTAAAGTGAATGTCAAACCGAAAACCTTTTGGATAAAGTGGTAAAGGATTGGTACACCTGTCTTGGTACCCCTAACCCCCCCCATTCCTGTTCTGCCAACAACAGGAAGTGAGAGAGAAAATGCCACAGACACGCACACAGTAGTACAAATCTTACAAGGGTTCTGGCTAGGGATGTCCTGATACCAGTGCCCATACTTTTCATGAGAACTACCAGGGTTGCAGCGGTTGCAGCGGGGACCTGGCTCTGGCGCTCCACCACTGTCCTGAAATCATTAGTCTGTATTGTTCTAGAAAAACTGTCACATGACAATAAACAAAAATGTATCAGTACTCGTACTTGGAAAAATGTGTTGTAAAGTAGTCACCGCTCCAAGCTCACTCCTGTGAAAGACTACAATCTCATGTTTAGTTTACCGATTTTGTATTGAGATTGTAGTCCATCACAGAAGTGAGCTTGGAGTGGTGACTACTTTACAACACACAGGGACCATGGGGAACAAAAGTAGCCACCCTCCAGAAGGAAGGACAGTGTCGGCACCAATTCAGAGATGATTTGAGGATCTACAGCCGAGTGATACACAAATAAGATACATTTTTGTTAATAGTTAAGATACTTTTAATGTATTTTTATGATTTAAAAAAAAAAAAGTTTAGTGTCACTGTAATGGTGGTGCTGGAGCTCGTCGGCAGTATGGTCCAGAATTCGGCCATGACAGGAAAGTTAGTGATGCTCCTGAAAGTATATGCACTCGATACCTGTCAGCTGTTTTCAGGACACAAAGAGGGAAGGGATGAAACTTTAAAGTATATTTTAACAATGGGGTGTGGGCTTGTAATTGTATATAGCAGTAATGGCTTAGTCAGGTTATACGTTGTTGTTCATTTTTAAACCGTGCGTGACAAATCCAGTTCAAAGAGCTAGTAAATGTCATGTATCAGAGTATAACTGACCTGAATCTAATACCAAAGAGAACCGACTCTTTAAACTACCACTAGACTGAACCTTTAGGATGTACTGTGTGTGATTGGATTAATAATAATTTTCCCCAGAGTTCTGCTTTAACTATGGGGTTAAGGGGTCTGTAACAGTGGATTGGCGGTTGGCACAATCATTTTACGTGCCCCATTCACACTACAATACTCCTGTGATGTGCAGTGTGGGGAAAAAATGGGAGACATGCTTCATTTTTCTGCAGTGGAAGTCACCGCAGCACACCACACCATTCTGCTGTACGGACACCTGTATGAAGTGTACACATTGTACATTGCTAATAAAGTTGTTTGGTTTTTTTATTAAGTAAAATGTGCTTTGCATTGTAACAATGGAAGGCACTGCTACACACGGCTGCCACCCAGCGGAGACCAGCCGCACACTACAATGGATTGTTTTAGCATGCGGCTAGTGTGAACCCAGATAATGGAAGCCAGCTACTGTGCTACCAATGTCACTTTATAATACCGTGCAGTCCACTGCAGCCTGCTAATGCATGCATTCCTGCTCCCCGTTTTATGTGTCATGATTGCTGGATGACCATGTTTTCTGACTTGCAGAACCCTTTGGCAAATCAAACCATTCACGTATATTTATTCTACCTGCCTATTTAGCAGTTTTTCCGTGACTCAGCCCATATCATTCTCTCAGTTAGGATTTTAATAGGAAATTAATTCAGCTTCATGTCGGCTCTATTTTAATACATTTCATGGGGCTGCATTTTGATCCTTTCCTCAGTACAGATTGGTTGATCGCAGAGTCTGCATAGCTGAATGCAGACAATTTTGTGTAACAAGCTTTATCATGATCCTTTGGTGATCTAGTTTAATAAGTGAAATCGTTTGAGATGGAAGAGCATGTAGCATTCATAAACAGAAGCATGCGTCGTCTCAACAGAGGGCCAGCAGTATTCTAATTGTGTTCATATTTCTGTCTTTTTCAGGAGAAGCTGCTGGCCAATGCGTCACAACAGATGGCAGACATCAGTCGTTTAAAGGGTAAGACAAACACATGCACCATCCAGCACAGCCTTACGGTTGGATCAGACTGTGCAGAAACTACCCTCTGCCTCTATACTTGCTTCCAGCTGTACTGTTCTTCCAAAACGGTGGCGTTGTGATGCGTTTACAGATCGTTACATTAACCCACATTACACAAACACATTTTCCAGAATGTTTGGACTCTGATCATTTAAAGGCGATTTCACTGCAGGGGCAACACAATAGAAGTTGGCAAGAGTCTGAGATACATCTCCAAGGACCTGGCCATGTGAATAGGCATGCAGAGATCAGTCGCTGCCCATCTTCCTCACTGATAGACTTACCAGGGTACGGGGTATAACCACACTTATTCATATGAAAATTAACATTTTCGTTTCCACCAGCAGCCAGTTCCTTCTCTTTTTATTCATCTCATGTTATGATGGGAGGTATACAGGGACATTTTAGATTTTTTTGTGTCAACAAGAACCAATCTTCCCTGAGATGCTTTGTAAGAAAAAGCCTCTAGTCTGGAAGATTAAAGGAGAACTATGGGGTCAGTGTTTTTCCCCATAGTTCTCCTAAGGGTCACGGGAGGACATAAACTAGCGTCCTCCCATCACCCTAAGCTCAGTATATCACGAGCTACAGCTATACATTATCACCCTGATGAAGGGACCCTGTGCGTTGTTTATTTTGTTTGTGACATTATGTCCGATTTTAAATGGACATTTACGCTTTGAAAACTACTTATTGAGTGCTGGTGATTCCTGTTTTCTACCGTTGATGTGCACGGTGCCATCCGTGATTGTCACTGCAAGCACCATTATTACTATTTTGGCCAGGAACGCTGTAAGGAGTGCAGAGGGGCTCTCTATTCTCTACCGAGATCCACCCAGCTGCGTGATTGACAGCTGGCTCTGCCTATCTAGAGGCGGAGCCAGCTGTACCCGCCCCCTCCCCTGTCCGCTCCGCCAGTCACTGCTCTCTGCAGGGACATGATCGAGAAGTGAGTGAGTGACTGTATGTGTTCGCTCACTTCCCGATCTACTGAGCCGACGTGACAGTTTCATTGTCACACGTCGGCTCGAACTATGAGGCTGAGTGATTTTCACTCGCCTCCTAGTTCTCCTTTTTTAATGAGCGTATTCAACCTGGAAATTACAATTACTGCTGCTTAAAGCAGAATCTGTCACCAGGTTATTAAAGTTATTTAAAAGCTGTGTCCGCAATCTTGTTAGTATGTATAAAAAAAGAGTAATAGGTTGAAATATATTGACCTTTTGGTGGAGAAATTGCTGCTACCTTCAGTGCTGGTCACATGATCACCATAGGGAAGATCGGATAATTTAAACTGTTTTTTTTTACTGGTAAGGATTTCATTTTATTTTACTCTTTGATATAAGAATAGCCGGAACACGTACCATACTGGAACAATGTGATGCTTTAGGCTCCCTCCAGTGCCAATCACATGACCAAATGCTGGATCACTGGCTATGTAAGTTGCTGTTTGGCTCTGCCTTAAAGAGGAATTTTACAGGCTTTGCATTTGTTGCATACCTTATTTTCCCATAACGTCTTCCAGGACAGCATCACGAGATGGCATCCCCTCCCCCAAACACAGGAAACGCGTCGCACAATCTTTTTAAAAGGCCCGCCTCTTTTCCAGTCACTCAGTCTTTGTGTTTCCTCGGTCAAACCTGGGGAACGCGTCACAGAACACTAGAGGAGCTTCCATGTGGTAATGTTGCCCTGGAAGTTTCCTTTTCCTGGAAATACCTGATCTGCCTGAGTTTTTTCATGGATAGAAGGGTATAGGTAGTTTTCCTACGCGCTTATGGTGGCCCCCAGTAATCCTCCTAGTGCTGACAGGGGGTAGGCAGGATTCTCTTCCTTTTTCAGTGCCCAGCGAGGGCCAGGACCAGAGTGACTGAGCCCCTTTGGCTGGGTTGTAGGGGAACGCTGACCGCCGATCATGAATCCATCTCCCTTTACTTCCTGGAGCTTTGGCACATTGTACTTCATCTCAGTGGATAAAATGCCTTTCCCTGAGATCTTGCAAGATTTTGCAGTTTACAGATGAGATTTCCCAGCCATGCTCTGCTGACGTAACCTTCCCAGGATGCATCTCTAAGGCTTGAGCTGAATCACTAATGCCTAAGGACCAGGAAGTGGAAAAACAATAATTGTAGTAAAAGTAAAAAATGTAAGATGATTTCATATCGGCATTCTGATGTGATTTTTAGTTAAAGGGGGTAGAGGTCACTTTAAACTGGCCATACTCTGCTCAATTCCACCCGAGTCCTGCTGATTTGGTCACAATTTGAGCAGTTTGTGGCCCCATTCCAAACCCTCTGTCTGACCAAGTCTATTTTTCAATCGACTTTTGTCGAAAAAGCCCAGTCCAAAAAAAGCACAATAGTGACTGCAGCCAATCAGCTGGGTATTCTGATAGCAACACACCCACCCCTGTCGGAACGTTCCAGAGGGGGGCTGTTTAGCATGGATAGGGGAATTGAGCATTTTTTCCTCATTGAGCCCTGCGGTGTATCTCCATATCATTCTTCCAATCTCCTTCTGCGTAGGTCATGTCACCAGAGCTTCCAGCATTTGGTCAAGTGACAATTAGCCTGGAGTTGCATTGTCTATTCAGCTAAGACCTCATCATGGGTCATCTTTGACAGATGAATAATACTAAAACGATGATGGGAACTGTACCTCAAGGGATGCTGGAATCTCTTCCTCATGGAATGCCTGAAACTAGGGATGCACCGATGCCATTTTGTTCTAGACCGAGTATGAGTACCGATACTTTTCCTCAAGTACTCGCCAATACCAATGACTGATCCTTGTGATTGGGTTTTTTTTTGGTGTTATGTGACCGCTTTTCTAAAACAATACAGACTAATGAAATTAGGACAGTGGTGGAGCGCAAGGGCCAGGTCGCAGCTGCATTCGCTGCGCCCCTGGTAGTTCTGCCACTGACTCCAAGCTGTAGCGGGACTACAAATCTCAGCAATACATTATAGCCAGTGCCATTCTGCCTTGCTGTATAGAGGACTACAAATCCAAGCAATACATTATACAGCAATGCAAAATAGTACATGAATTTCCTACATTCTCTGTTCTGCCACTCTGATCCAGGGTGCCGGCCTGATGTCTTGGGCGGAGGGTCTTAGCGGGGGCAGATGCAGAGAGTTTTAGCAGGGGAGATGTGCGACTCATCGTTTTAAACGGGCACCATGTGGTTCCCCAGAAGGCTGCCGTGAGGTCCCCAGCAAGCATGGGACCTTAGGCAGCCGAATTGGTTTAAACATTTAAAGTGCCGGTATCTGTATTTAGTATCGTGGCATTTTCAGGAGTACTAGTGAAAATGCCCAGTATTGTCACCGATACTGGTATTGGTGCATCCTTACCTGAAACCATACCATACCATATTAGAGCTGTCCTAAAAATAAAAAGCATCTGGGATTCACAGTCCACTATGATATACAGGACTAGCTGTGTTTGTTTAGGTCACTGAAAAAGTCGTTTGTATTTCTTTGCAGAACAATTAAATGAACTACGTCAAGAAGTCCTGCGACAGGAGGATCAGCTGCATGAGTACAAGAACAATTACACCTCGCTTCAGAAAGCATTGAAGGAAGAGAGGTTGGGACTTAATCGTTATGAGCCGCTGCATTCAGCATGGTTACTTTGTGCTGTACTGAATAAACTAATCTTCTGATGTTCACATTAGTCAACAGTGTACAAAACGGCTGGAAGATCAGAAGCGTGAATATGAAGAGAGCATTAAGAAACTCCAGCTGGCAAGCAAGGATAAGGTGAGCTAGAGTCTGAAATGTCAAAGAATGTTCATGTTTTGCAGTGTTGGTGTTTCTCGGTCAGTAATAAATGCGATACCATCTCTGCCTCTTCTTTTTTTTTTTTTTTTAAATCTTTTTATATACATCAAGCCGGGGAAAATAGATTTTTTTCTTTTTCTTTCTATAAAGTGGATGTTTAAACTACTCGGAATAAAAGTTTACCAACAAATGTAGTCCAATCAAGGTTAAACCTGTCTAATACGGACTACCCAGTGTCATATGGATATTAATGGGTGAAACCCATCGCTGGATTATTACAACTTGCAGAGATCCCTGTCCTGTATGAGGGAGCCTTAGGAACATTTCCACATGTAGATTCCTACTCCTTATGCAGAAATGACACTGCAGTGGTTCTCTCCCCATCCTCAATCATGTCAAATAATGTGAACTTTACATGGCAAATGTTATCTAAAAATGTCCTATTAGTTTTTAGTAGGAGCAATGCAATTTGTTTTTTCTTTATATCACAGAACATGCACAGGGTATACAACACAATCTAAGGAAAAAAAAACTGTAAAGTATTACAAAAGTGGATAATTATACACCTGAATCCAATATTTAAAGGCATAGATCACAAATGTAAACCGTATAATTGCATTGTCAAGACACTCAAGAGGCACCAAGGGGTACTTGGATAAAGTCCTTGCCAACTAGAACCAGTCCTCTGAAAACGCAGAGAAAACGCAGACCATTCAAAGGAGTGTCATAGCAGTTATGTGAGTAATATAATCTCTTGAAGGTGGGGGAATAAGCAAAAGGGTAATAAGGTCAAGGGGTAGCCAGGGGGGATTAAAAAAAAAAAGGTAATCAAATAGTAGAAGAGAAAAGAGGAGCAGGAAAGGTATAGAACAGAAGTAGGCAACCTTGGCACTCCAGTTGTACTGGAACAACAAATACCATCTGCCTCTTGCTCTGGGAGTCATGGCTGGGGCTGTCAGTCTTGCAATGCCTCATGGGGCTTGTAGTTCCACAACAGCTGGAGATCTGAGGTTGCCTACCCTTGATATAGTAGACGAGAGACTGCTCTCCCATCCATTCCATGGCGCAAGGAAATTTTTGATGCAACATCTCCCCTCCCAGGTGTTCACTTCATCCCATAGAATAGAATGCTTTCATCCTTGACTCTACCATTGCAGCCAGGACTGTGCTGTGACCTGGATTCTCTCTCCAGGGTAAATTTTCCATATTTTCTAGAATTTGCCAGCGGGCAACTGCTATGTTTCAGCAGTGTGGAATTCCTTTCACCCGACGGCCGGCACATCCAGCTCTATTTAGCTCTACTGTGGGCTAGCAGGGCTAAATGTAGATCATGTCCGGACGGAGAGCAAAGTGGAGAACATCAAATCTGCTCTGTGAGACAGGAGTGCTGTACTCGCAGCGCCCCTATCTCATCTGTCACAAGCTGCCCAGAAGATCGAGCCCAGTGCAGTTGCTTGATGTTTTGGTGGGCCGCTTCCATAAGGAGAAACACTCCAAACACTATCACAGGGGCTTATTATCCCCTGTGTGATAGCAATAAAGTGAAGAAAAGTTAAAAAAAAAACAGATTTTAAAAAGTAGTAAATTAAAATAGTAAAATAATGAATACAATCAAAAAATAAACTAATAAAGTAAAAAATAATAAAACATTAAAACCAACCCTGGCCCTGCCGCCATGTGCAAGTGAATAAGCAGCTCTCTCTAACATCCACAATGTGCAGTAACCCTTTCGCAACTGCAACACAACCGCTTGCAACTGGCCACGTCAGTATGCCATGTGTCGGTGGCTTTTACCCTTCTGCTATAAGCTCATGGTCACTGATCTTCCCCCTCCCGTCTGAAGCCTCTCCATGTTTCTCCTCGGATACCCGCTGCTCTCCCACCACCTGTATGAGCTGAGGCAGCGTGGATCCGAGGAGAAAATGACAGCTGAAACTGGCTGGAGTAGGGGGCAGAGGTGGGAGCGCCATCATCCAGCGGTGAGGAGAGAGGAGCCACAGCCAAGCGGGGAGGTGAGAGCAGAGATGCTGTCATTCTGTCAGTTTAAGGATGACAGCGGCTCTGTGTGTGGCCGAGCAGAGGATCGGTAAATATCTGTGATATTTACCGATCCTCTGTGTGCAGAACCAACACTGGAGTGATCGCTGATCCCTCCAGTGTTTGTAAACAACTGGGGACGCAGTACTATGTGTGCTTTTACATCACTTCCTGTTCATTCATGATTTTCTCCATGGAGAGAAGCACTCGCTGCAGAGGCTTCTACCAATTCAGAAACTGGTAGATAGTAAATTTTGAATGAATGGGAAGCCTCTGTACTGTGTGCTTTCCTTTCATTTAGAACAGAGGCTATTTCCAAAAGGTAATGTCAGGGGTCTGTTTAGACCCCTGATATTTCCCCCGAAGCCCCCCAACAGTAAAATAAAATAATAAAAATAGAGCTGCAGCTAACGATTATTTTCAAAATCGATTAGTTAGCCGATTATTGAGTTCGGTTAATCGGATAAACAATAAAATAAAGTTTAAAAAATGGCTCCAGTGATAGGACTACTAGTTTGTATTGAAATGGGACTCCATCACAGGAGCAAGCTTGGAGTGGTGGAAGTAAAAAAAACAAAAAAACATAGTGTGGTGTGCAATATAGTGAAATGGAAAGTGTAAAATTATACAGCAATGAATGCAGAATGGCACCGGCTATAGAGGACTACAAAACCCAGCAAAAGCACATTATACAGCGCAATGCAGAACACCGCCAGCTATAGAGGAATACAACAAATCCCAGCAATAGTACATAATAGCTGGCGGCATTCTGCATTGCGCTGTATAATGTACTATTGCTGGGTTTTGTAGTCCTCTATAGCTGGTGGTATTTAGCATTGTACCACTTTATAATGTATTATTGCTGGGATTTGTTGTAGTCCTCTATAGCTGGTGGTATTCCGCATTGCGCTGTATAATGTATTATTGCTGGGACTTGTAGTCCTCTATACAGCGCAATGCAGAATATCACCAGCTATAGAGGAGTACAACAAATCCCAGCAATACATTATACATACAGTGTATAATGCATTGCTGGTATTTGTATTCCTAATGTATAATGTACAGTGCAATGTACCATCAGCTATAGAGAAATACAAATCCCAGCAATACATTATAGAGCACCATGTGTGGGAAAGTGCAGGCTTACCTGAGCAGTCTTCCAGCAACTTGCTTCTGAGATTGGACCTGTCTATCAGCTGCTGTCATCCCCCCACCCCTGCTCCTCCTTACTACATCTCCCCGCGTGCCTTGCCGATCTTGGATGGGCAGGAAATGTGAGGCGGGGAGGAGGTGCGGCGTGTGGAGCGTGGATGCGAGCGGGTCTGGCAGCGGCGAGCGTGAGGTGGGGACGAGGTGCGGCGCACAGCGTGTGGAGCTGTGAACAGGGCCAACTGATCGGAAGCCGATTAATCGATTATTGAAAAAGTTGACAACTTTTTCAATAATCGATTATGTCGATTAGTTGTTGCAGCCCTGAATAAAAAACACAACATACACATGCAACAGTGTGCACCCTATCGTGGTATACGCCACGGACATGTGCTGGGGTGCATTGCAGTGTTTGTTTTTATTTTGTAAATAACAAATAATTTGACTGGCAGCAGATTGCAAAGCGTTGTGACGCATTGCCGTACGTTGTGATACTGTTGCAATTAAATATACGCCTGTATCAGTTTATCACAACACACACATCAACACAGTGCACAAACGATTTTTAACATAAGCCGCTTATTTACAGTTTTGCACTACTTTATTTTTTTTACCGTTTCGCAAAAAGGCGCAGTTTGAAATTTACAAATTATTTTGTTATTAATTCAATACAGTTTTATCTTTTAGATTTAGGCGGAAAAGTTTTTATCATTGGTTTTAATATTGATTGGATAAACATTTGCGCAGTTATCGCAGGACCTACAAAATGAGTAGCCACATCTTTTTATCATACCGGGCCTGTGCTTTCAGAAAATATATGGTTTGGGGGGTCTTTTACAAACGCTAGCAATCCTGCAATAGAAAAGCAAAACAATGGGAACAGTTGCAAAAATGGTGTGGCCAGCTGAGGTTAAAAGCGTTCCAGAAGGCTTGGCAGCGAATGGATTAAAGGGTAAGTTCACTTTTCCAAGTAATTAGGGAAAATGTAATTGCCCACTCAAATTTGGCTCCCTCTCCCCACATTCCACCCCTACATCCTTCTCCTGTGCTATACTTGCCTTTTGCCACACGGTCCTTCCCCTCCGCCAGTACGGATGTACTATCTGTACCCCATACTGCCGTCCAGCGCACCTCTGCACTATTGATTTTTTAATTTTGCTTGCAAATTGCCAGCACTCATTGGTCAGGGTGGCCACCGAAGTGCTTCTTCGCATTTTAAGTAGGGTTTTATTTTAAAATCACTTTTTGTATCGGGACAAGTAGATTGTCATGAGGGACAAGACGATTGGGCACCCGCTTTAGTCCTTGGGCAAGTAGGTTTATTGTTTTTACATTTTCACACCCCTGTGGTCATTACTATCTTTGCACCTGCTTTCCCCCCCACCCCCTTCAGTGGAATCATCCTATAAGAATGTGAAAATCAAACCAGAAAATCGGGTCACACTCTAGCAGACATGGCATGACTGTGAGGGGAGAGAGATTCTACCTACAAGGGTATTGGCATTTAATATCCAGCTGGGGATCAAACCCTACCTAATTTCTTTCAAAACTAAAGGACAAAAGTAACCTTTTAGCATGTTCTGTTAAGAACTGGGCATTAGGACAGGAGAGGAAAATATTGGGAAGATAAGACTGGCACATATGAAGGGCTGAACACTGGGGAAAAAAAAGATCTGAATTGGGGAGCCGGTCTGTAAAAACTGAACGGTACAAATTGCTGACATCACAGGTCCTATGGAAAACAAATTTTGAATATTACATTGACACTTTAAAGTGACCCTCCCAGAAGGAAGGACAGTGTCAGCATGAATTCAGAGATGATTTGAGGATCTACAGCCGAGTGATACACAAATAAGATACATTTAGCTTTTTAATAGATCAAATATTTGAATGCATTATTAAGGTTTAAACCCCTAGTTTAGTGTCCCCTTAACTGCTGGCAGTGGGCTGTTCGGCACCCTTTGGCATTTGCTGTCTGTTATAATTACAGTTACTGTGTGGAATGGCCAGATCTAATTTATGTTCAAAGATGTGAGTTATACACATTTCACTTAGGGCTCATTTGGAGCTGTGCAGTGTGTCAACATAATGTGTGTAAGGTGCCAACGCATCCAATTAATAATTACATTCATTTTAAATGGGCTGACCCCATTTGTTCAAAGCAGTGCATCACTATGTGCAATGAACCTACATTGTGTTACAGTGTGGGTTCTTTGCCCGCTATTGTAATCTGCCTTGGGGGTGATATTCATTTTGAACACCAGAATAGCTATTTTAGATGTGTTGACACTTTCATGAGCGATCCACTTTGCTATACATTTTCACCAAACTCCTATTATTGCTTCTTTCTTTTTACATTTCTGAATTCAAATAATGTGATTATAAGGTATTTAGGTGGGATCGGTGGCACCACTTTAAATCCCTCATGGTGTGTCTGAGCGCGTGGTGGACCAAATGGTACTTGTAAATGTCGGCCATTTCTTGCTTATGCAAACATCTGTGTCAAGTTTGAAACATGTAGGGCTGCCTTTGCCAGTTCTCTTGCTGTTCCGCTGACCACCTGGTTTGAGTGGCTTTGCAGCCAATGACTTCAATAAAGCACGAATATCTGTTCTGACTACACTTGCAGAATTTTCTCATATTTGTGTATATGTGACATTTACACTGGGCTGGGTTTGGCTGGAACTTTATTCCCATGCTCTTCGTGTTTGTATAGGTGGAAAAGGAACTATCCAAAAACCAACTTGCAGGAGGGGAAGAAAAGTCTGAGAATAAGGTAAATGCGGCAGACACTGACGTAAAAGACGTAAATGAAGAAGACCCCGGTAACCGAGTGCATTATGATAAAGGTAAGCTTTTTGGACTCTGGGTGATTTGTAGGTCGTCCTTTCCCTAAACTAGGGATGTCCCGATACAGGGCATTTTACTTGTGAAAATGCCCCGATTACATGGCGCCGATACTTGCGCAGTGGTGATGAGTTCGTATCGCCCGACTCCTGGGACATGTAGTTTCCCGTGCGCCGGGCAAGCGAGGGGGTGGAGCGGTGCGAGCAGGGGGTCTGGAACGCTGACAGCAGGGGGCCGGCAGCTTATACAAGCGATCTGCTGGCTCTACAGCCGGCGGATCGCTTGTATGTTAACCGGCATCGCTGCCGGTTTTTAAATTTTGTGTTTCCTGTGCGCGCCGCAAGGTGCACCCGAGTGGGCGGGGCTAACAGGCCGTATACACACAGCCTGTTACATCCAGGAAGCTCCCGGCCGTCCGTTTTAATACAATGGCCGGCCCGGAAGCAGTTAAAATGTCACCTGTCCCTTTAAGAAAAAGTATCGGTAAGTACCTAGGGGAAAGTACTTGTACTTGGTCTTGAAAAAGTGGTGTCGGGACATCCCTACCCTAAACATTACCTAAAGCTAGAGCAAGCATATTTTTGGGAAATATGTAATGGCTCACTTGGGATGATCGCATTTTGCATGACCAGCAATTAGTAGGTGTCTTCCACCAGAATTGCTTTTTCCTGTTATGCTGTTGCATCTTTTTTTTGTTTTGTTCTGTTGTCCTGCACAGAGGCAACATATGGGGTGCTTGGTGCATAGATAATTACATTAACGCATACTAATCTTACTCTTTAGAGGCTTCTAAGGTTATTGCCAGAGATAGAAGACAGTGAGCCAGCAAAACCAAACCTTGTCCCGACTGGTAAGTCTGCAGAAAATGTTACTTGTGACCTCTGTGTCTTTTCTCTGTAGTTAACCCCTCGTATCTCTCTCTTGTATAGTAGTGAAGAAGGTGGAAATTGTTGCTCTTCCACAAGAAGTTGGGGAGTCTGAGAAACAACCTTCCTTGCAGCCCGATTCCATAACTAATGCTCATGGTACACTATATCCTTTCCATATTCTACTAGTCAGGTTTACATTTACTGTGCTTTGACACTTTGAAATTGTTTTAGATTTGAATTAAAATAGAAAAAAATTAACTTGGAAGAAAAACTATAGTTGTGGCCTAATGTGAATATCTGAGGGTGGTGAAATCACTCTAGTGAATGGGCAACTGCTAAATACATTTCACACCTATGTAAATTGTCATACCTGCCAAAGGGTTTGCATTTCTGTACATCCAGTCTTGAGCTTTACACTGCCCTGCCAGACAGCACATCCAACCTGGTCACCTGACCTGTGTCTGCTGTAAGTCTATATTATATGTAGAATGCATATGTTGAAAATGCAATGCACCATGCAGCAAGTGTTGGGGTGCATGCAATATAAATGCAATATGGATTTTACTAATTTTACCACATACTGGCACATTTATTCTGAAGTACTTTTTCAATCATACAATATGATTTAAATTAAAAATCTTATTGTATGATTTATAAGGTACTACAGAACAAATGTAGCACCTCATGGTTATATCAGTAAAATTGGTGATGTATTTACATTGCATGGTGCGTTGCATTTTTAACAAATGCCTCTATATTATATGTAGAATGCATATGTTGCAAATGCAGTACACCATGCAGCAAGTGTGCGGGGGTCATGTAATGTAAAAGCAATAACGATTTTACTAATATAACCATGTATTGGTACCAGGGGCATAACTAGAAATCACAGGGCCCCATAGCAACATTTTGTTTGGGGGCCTGTGATTTCTAGTTACACCCCTTGCAGAGTCCACCTGAGACTCCACACAGCCCACCTGAGAATGACCCTGCAGAGCCCACCACAGACTCTCTTTAGTGCGCTCTGCAGGGTCTCAGGTGGGCCGTTCACACCCCTGCACACCTCTTACCTGTCAGCCCCAATCCGCTGTCAGCTTCCTCCACCGCTGGGCCCCGCCTCCTCCCCCTCCATGGTCGCCGGTGGGCCCGTCTCCTCCTCTACCGTGCCCTGCCTCCTCCCCCACTGCCGACGCTGGCTTCCTCCACCGCAGCTGCTGGCTGTTACTAACTCAGCAGCGGCTGTGAGGAGGAACGCACCGCTGCACAGATCACTGACAGGTTGTCAGTGAACTGAACAGCGGCGCATTCCTCCTCAGTCACCAGTGACAGCCAGCAGCGTTCGATGCCACAATGACCCAGGCAGCCCGCACGGCATCAGGGGGACCCCTTTGTTCCTCGTCCTGGCCAGGCCCCCCTGTGCCCCCGGGCCCCATAGCTGCCTCCTGGGTCGCAATGGCGATAGTTCCACCACTGATTGGTACATTTGTTCTATACTACTTGATAAATCATGCAATACGATTTTTATTTAAATCTAATTGTATGATTTATCAGGTAGTACAGAACTTGGATAAATTAGTAAAATCTGTATTGCAATTACACAGCATATTACTAAACACATGGACTGAATATACATTTCAGCACATGTTTAGTGATATGCCTGTAAATACAACACAGTCCAGAATCTTCCTCCCCAGTCCTGCTCCCAGACCCCTGCCTGTGTGCTAAAGACAGATGTAAACTTAAATACAGATAAGTGTAAATACAGATAAAGAAAATGATCGTAACTGTTCGTTTTTTTTTCCAGATTTACCTGTGCCGTCTGGCTGTACCCTCCCCCTCCTCCTCCATGCCTGCTTGATCTCTGTGACAGGCATCGGGGGAGGAGATCACAGCAGGAGACACACACACACGGACGGACGGTCACTTCACAGGCTGGCTGCTACTGAGAACGATGTCCGTTCTGTCTCCCCACCGGCTCAAACGCACAGCTCATTTTCTGTTTGCCGCTGGATGTGAAAGGGACAGCTGCTGTGGGCCCCTGTACGTTATGGGGCCCAGGGCAAATGCCCCATTTGCCCTGCGCTAAAGACGGCCCTGGCTGCAGTTAAGCCACACAGATTGGTGCCTCCCAGCCTGTGCCTAGATAGTGAAGCAGCAGCAACAAGCTCTTCCCTCCTGTCAGCATGCTGGATAGCTGATCAACGCCAAGTCCTGTCCCTCCCTCTCCCAGTCCAAGCTTCAATTTAAATACATCTAACTTTTTTTTTTAATAGATACATACCTAATATTTGTTGCTGTTTTCTGTGTGATTAGATAATGGCTATAAAATAGAACCAAATGGATGAGCAGAGCCAAGATGTGTCCTTTTTTCTTCTTTCCTAGTTATATACCTTCCTCCTGGAGTCAATAAAGAGCCGGATTCTCCATTAGAAGACAATGCCCTACGTTTGGGTCAGCTACCTGGGAAACCACTCCCCAAAGAGCCGAAGTCTATGATCTTTCCTAACTTAAAGCAAAGTAAGGCTAACTTGTCTCATTATGGAGAAATGACAAAATATTTTAAGCTAATCTTTATGAAATCATCCATGACTGACATCTGATAATTGTCTTCAGCGTCAGTGAAATTGCAGCTGTTTCATGTTTGGCAGTATTTGTGTTTATGTATTACTGCATATGCAGGAAATATGTGCAATAATACATAACACTCTAGTTCCCTCAGTCTGTGGGTGAGTGTTCACTAATGTGTGAATGTAGTTTAACAGATGCAGTCTTTGTGATCAATTAGTTGTAGAATAAGTACATTTGTCATTATATTTTGGTCTTTTGCAAGAGCTGACGGCACCAAACATAAACATGGAGCTTTTGTACTTTTATGGGGCTCTTGTGAACCTGGCTTAAGTGTTTTTAAAGTGACAACAATACTGAAACTTGGTGCCTCTAATGGTCTTTAGAATGATCCCTGTGTCCCTGAGGGGCCCGTTGAATTCTAGGCCCTAAATTTACGAGGTATTGACTTGCCTTGTGTTTTTAAGTCCCTTCCCTGCTCATTGTCATTGATTTGTCAAATGCCCGACCCCTTACTGCTCACCAAATTCTAGCATTTAAAGGAGACTTATTAGGAGAGTAAAATGTACTCTTCCTGTACTTGTAGCCAATGTGTGACACTGCAGCTGTCTCACACGCCGGCCCTGTAGATTGTGAGCTGAGTGATCACAAACCACTGATCGCTCAGCTCATGATCTGTTCCCTGCAGAGTGATGATTGTCAGTCACTGCTCCCTGTAGGTAGTCCCCACGCCTCTGCTTCTCCAGCACTCATTGGAGGGACAGATGGGAGGGGGCGGGCACAGCTGGCTCTGGCTCTAGAGAGACAGAGCCAGCTCTCAATTAGGCAGCAGGAATTGTCGGGACATTTCCCAACTGCAGTGCACCTCTGTACTGTCAGCATATAGCTGACAGTAGCTGACTTTGTGTCAGAGGAGTACATTAGTAAATGGATTCCTTTCACCCAAAGTTGTTCGTTTAAGGCCCCATTCACACAGTGGGGCCGTACAGATCCGTGCGGCGTGCACGGCCATACGGGGCCGTTCCCAGGAAGGACAGGTGCTGCGTGTGATTGTACGCAGCAGCCTGTTCTTCCCTACACGCGCACGGATGTGAAGCTAGGGTGAGCATACGACAGCGTATGGCCGCGTCCTCCCATAGGGAAGAACAGGTTGTTGCGTACAATCACACGCAGCACCTGTCCATTCTGGAAATGGCCTGATACGGCCGTGTGCGCCACACGGATCTGTACGGCCCCACTCTACACTGTGACGCGGGCCTAACTGTTAATGTGAGCTTGGCCTGGCACCAGAAGAAGGCAGTACTTAATCTTGACTCATGCGCATGGCAAGACCTCATGTACACACTGGGCTTAGGATCCAACAGGTTTCATGGGAATGCAGGGATCAATTTGAAGACTAAAGCTGGCTATGTTCTGAGTAAATTTTGGCCTGAAACTGGCTGTGAGTGGCCTTGTCTGCTGCCTCCCATCCAACACCCTTCGAATTAAAAATCCAAGGAGCCAGGCAGGAAATTGTCGACCAAACAGAGACTGCAATCCAATCCAATCAAATGCAGCCGCTGTTCAGGTGCTTTGACAGCTGCCAGCGGAGCCGACTATAAAAATACTATAGCTGCAGTGGGCAGTTTAGCATTAATAGAGGAATCCTGTTTTTTGACTGAACTGAAAAAAAAAAATCTAACAGTGCATGTAGTAGCCACCTAATGTATGTATGAGCAATGGGCTTCTGGATAGTGGAAGACATCAAACAGGTGCTTGAACTGAAGATTATAATTGATGTTACCTTGGAAACATTTTAGGTCATGTTGGGTTTAGTTTAACGATGATATTGCATGTTTTTCCAATATGTATCTATACACTGTGAAATGAATGCGGCCTCGCAGAATGAAATCACAAAACCGAGGAGACAAAGAACGTGCAGGATAGCTCCACATCACCACCTGCTGGCCAGATTCACACTATTACAAGCGCATTTCTTTTCAAGTCTGTTTTTCTGCTGGCCTATCTAGATTGTCTCAGAAACAACTGTAACCAACATTAATATTTCTGGTTTAGTTAAAACTAAAATCTAGGTACGGATAGAAAAGTGCGTGAAATCACCCTCCAAAGTATTAAAAAGATCGTGACATTCAGGGTAAATCCACAGTGCTTTCTGATGAGGTGTACTTCTCTATCTATACACCCTTCCTGCTACCTCAAAGGCCTCACTCTGGTGCACTAACATAGTAGGACTTCAGAGTATTTGAGGGCATGTATCCTTCCCATGTGACAGTGGCTGGGTCTAAGTGGCCAATCAACAGGCTTGAATATTGTCGCATTGGTAGGAGGGGAGGGGAAGCATCATGCAATCGAGTAAGCTCCAACGCCAGAGCTTTCTGCTGTGGAATATTGGCAAGGGGTAAATATGGGTTGCTAGGGAAGGTTGGGTGGGTTGGTTACCAGGAGGCACTGTCACTGTGCCCTGATTTTGCAGGTAACAGGGTCTCTTTCATATTTCTGTTGGCGTGGCAAGCCCTAGTCCTCACCCTGCCAACAATGAACGCTGTTCATGTTGTATTCTTTATCATGTAAAAAAAGGTAACTGAAGATGGCATGGCAACCCCAGTGCAGAGTTCTTGGTAATGGCCTAAGAAATCTATAAAGCCAGTGGTGACTCGGTCTGTCAAAATTACCACACACCCAGTATAAGAGGGAATGCCTCAATGGACATCCAAAGCAAATCAGTTTTTTTTTTTTTTTTTTTTTGAGGGTTACATGTTTGTTCTGCTACATGGTACCTGCTGCACATTGCACCGAGCAAATAAGGGGCTTCTCTGTTGTTTATTTAGCGGGCAATAAGGGGAAATTAATCAAAACTGGAGCAGACAATCTGGAGCAGTTGCCCAGAGTAACCAATTAGCCTCTCTCTTCAGTTTGTTCAAAGCTTTGAAGATAAAATAGAAGCTGATTGGTTACTGTGCACAACTGCTCCAGTTTTGATAAATCCCCCTCATTATGCACATGGCTAAGAATTTATATTGGAATCAACCACATGCGGCAGTACAACCTGGCTAGGATTGCTGTATTATAAGTCTTCTCTAAGGCTCAGGACACAATCAGAAGACTTGTACAAGGAACAATCAAGCTTTTAACAGTAAGATGGTAGAATGAGCAATGTTATTGCACCAAATGCAGGAAGTTGGCCAATCTGAGATCATCTCAACCAATCTGGCTGCAGTAAAATAAAGTGACCCTATTGCACATGGTTCTACTTCATTAACCTGGATGTACGCTGTTCGAACATTTGTTCAAAATTGTTTATCAGAACATTCGATCTTGCCATCATTGAGTCAACTAATTTTAATTCGCCCCTAAAACTTCACCCAGTCCTCGTACTTACATGGACTCCCATTCAAGCACATGCGCATCACAATATGTACAATTTTTCCTGAAGGAAAATCGCATCCACAGTTACAATTTTGTTTGTTCTGCTAACCATCAGAAAATCAAACGGATGTTCCAAAAATTCAATTTTGTTGAACAAAATTCTACTGGTATATGGCCAACTTTACTGAATAGGATCTGCATTTAAAGAAGAACATTAGTAGGCATTGTTCAAAGTCAATCTACGAAGTTTTGTTACTCGACTGAATGTGATTTTCAGAACATCATCAACTCTTGTTGTGTCAGAGGGGTCCCCATAGATGTAGCAGTCAGGCAGAGCGAGGCAGTTATTGGGAGAGATCAGAGCCTTGTGTCCTGCACTTATCATAGTTAAACAGATCTGAAGTGGGAAACAAAAGCTCTTCTATAGCATAATGGGAGGGTTTCATTGCTTTGCTCTCTTAGGCTCTAAGTTGTCATGATATAATGAAAGGAATAGACCTGATGCTTAATTCTTAGGGATTTCAGGATCCAGAATGCATATACTTTGCTTTCTTTTTGCAAAAAATATTGGTTATATTATGCAATATCAACAACTTCATGATGAGATATTTGAGGTTATAGAAATATGATCACAACACATTTTGATCTTTTTCTTCCATTTGTTTTACATATAAAAATTGGTGGAAATACAAGAGCCACAGGGCTGCTATCCTCATCCGGGCTTCTCTACATACAGTGGGGGAAATAATTATTTGATCCCCTGCAGATTTTGTAAGAAAAGTCTATAATTTGTATCATAGGTGACAGAATATCAACCAAAAATCCAGAAAGAAAAACACATGATACAAATGTTTTATAAATTGAGGTTCAGTTCAGTGAGTAAAATAAGTATTTGATCCCCTACCAACCAACAATAATTCTGGCTCACACAGCCTGACTATGTGGTACACAGATTAGTCCTGTCAATTTTTAAGAAGGTGCTCCGAGTGATAACTTTGTTATGTATATAAAAGGCACCTGTCCACAGAATCTTTCTTCCATTCAAACCTCACCACCATGGTCAAGACCAATGAGCTGTTAAAGGATGTTAGGGACAAGATTGTAGACCTGTACAAGGCTGGAATGGGCTATAAGACTATCAGCAAGAAGGAAACAACTGTTGGCGCAATCATTCACAAATGGAAGGAATACAAAAAAAACATCAATCGCCCTCGCCCTGGAGCTCCATGCAAGATTTCACCTCATGGGGTAAGGATGATCATGAGTAAAATGAGGGATCAGCCCAGAACTACACTGGAGGAGCTTGTGAATGATCTCAAGGCAGTTGGGACCACAGTCACCAAAAACAAACCATTGGTAACACAATACACTGCCATGGATTGAGATCCTGCAGCACCTGCAAGGTCCCCTCCTCAGGAAGGCACATGTACAGGCCCGTCTGAAACTTGCCAATGAACATCTAAATGATTCAGAAAGGATTGGGAGAAAGTGCTGTGGTCAGATGAGACCAAAATTGAGCTCTGGCATTAACGCGACTCGTCGTGTTTGGAGGAAGAAAAATGCTGACGATGACCCTAAGAACACAATCTCTACAGTCAAGCACGGAGGTGGAAAAATTATTCTTTGGGGCTGTTTCTCTGCTAAAGGTACAGGCCAACTTTGCCACATTGAGGGGCCAATGGACGGGGCCACATATTGTAAAATCTTGGCTGAGAACCTCCTCCCCTCAGCCAGAACACTGAAGATAGGTCGTGGATGGGTCTTTCAGCATGACAATGGCCCAAAACATACCGCCAAGGCAACAAAGCAGTGGCTCAAGCATATTAAGAAGCATATTAAGGTCATTAAGCACATGCACTGAGTGGCCAGATTATTATGACCACCTGACGTTTGTAGGCAAATGAGCTATAATTTTGCGCTGAAGTTGCTAGAGGGCCAGACCATTATAAATAGGGAAGCAGGTTGTTTAACACGACAGTAGAAGTGATTTGTTTCTGAAGATATGGGTAAACAACGCGATTTAACAGCCTTTGAACGTGGGATGATTGTTGGTGCTCGGAGCCATGAAGAGAGTATCAGCAAAACGGCAGAATTCGTTAAATGTTCAAGAGCAGCTGTTGTTAAAGTGTTTGAAGACTGGACTGTCAGCCGAAAATCTGGGTCTGGACGTGCGAATTGTGGCCGTCAGCGACTAGTCAATGTTAGGGCAGAACGGAGAGTGGCAAGACTGGTACAAGACAACAGAAGGGCAACAGTGCATCAAATTACTGCAGATCTTAATCAGGGATCCTCTCAAATGATCTCTGAACGCACTGTTTGCCGTACACAGCATCGTATGGGATATGGAAGCCGAAGGCCTGTTCGAACACCTTTGCTGTCTCCAATTCGCACAGGAACACAAGGATTGGACAGTCGAGCATTGGAAAAAAGGTCATGTGGTCCAATGAATCACGTTTCCAGTTGCATCATGCAGATGGCAGAGGTGAGAATTTGGCGGGAACAGCATGAAAGCATGTACCCACATGCTTTCATGCTGTTGAGTACAACCCTTCAAGCTGGTGGGGGCAGTGTTATGGTTCGGGGCATGTTTTCTCAGCATGATGTGGGCCCTTTTAATTCGTGTGGAACAACGTCTGAATAGCACAACATACCAAAGTATCGTTGCTGATTAAGTTCATCCTATCATGTTGATGGCGTATCCCAATGGAGATGGCTTCTTCCAACAAGACAATGCGCCATGCCACGGTACTCGTATTGTGCAGGAGTGGTTTCAAGAACATGAGGGGGACTTTACCTTGCTTAGGTGGCCCCCACAATTACCAGATCTCAATCTAATTGAGCATTTGTGAGACTAAGTTGGAAGAGCCATCAGGCAGCTGGTTCCACAACCATCAAATCTTACAGAACTGGACAGTGCTATTAATCAGGCATGGTGACAGATCCCTTGCATCACCTTTTCAAAATCTCGTGGAGTCAATGCCAAGAAGAATCGCTGCAGTATTGAAGGCAAAAGGTGGCCCAACGAAGTACTGATGGGGTGGTCATAATAATCTGGCCACTCAGTGTATATCTATATATTACACCTATATAATGGTCTGGTTTTAGTAAAGTGAACTTCGGTTATTGTGCATTACTGCACTTCTTGCTTTTGCCTCTTGCACTGGTTATTCATTTTAAGCTTTGTCTCTTAGTCGTCTTGGAATTATTTTTTTTTAAACATTTAGGCTGGCATTACACTTGTGTTGTCTAGTAAAGCATGCTAAAACCCACTTTTTTTTTTTTCTTTTTTTTTTTTTTTTCTACTGCAACTGACTTTAATTTATTCCATTTTGTACAGTGCATCGCAGTTCCATCCATTTAAGATAACCATACAAGTGGTAACACACACGCAAAGTCATAATGTATATCTTGTGTGTTGGTGAGCTGCATTGAAAATTGTGGAAGGAACGGTTTCTTATTTGTTGAGATGCATTGGCAGCCATTTTAAAATGAAATTGCTACTGCAATGAAATTAATTAACACCCATGACGCACCATAAGGGGATGGAAAAGTGTAAAGAGGCCATTAAAGTAAAGCTATGGTCTTCAGCCTTTATATTTTAGAAATGGATGTGTGAAAATGATGCGTTTTAGTGTAAATAATCATATTGGTAAGTATGAATATTTTTGAAAACCTTGTTTTTGCATGTAGTTTATAAACATGCCATATTTGGTTGTGCTTCCTGCTTGGTTGTACTACTCAGAACTGTGCTTTACTGCCCCCCTCCCCCTCTCTCTTTAAAACTCTATAGGCCTGAATGACCCCTTAGCTTACCTCCAGTAGTTATTTAGCAGGAAATCCTAATCGCATTCCCTGCTACACAGGTGTCCTTCAAATGGAGCATTTACAATCCTCCATGTAAAAGAACAAATAAAACCATCTAAAGTCTCATCTAAAATTACTTTTAGTTGAATGTAACAATATTGTTCTATATATTTAGTGAAATTTGCTACAGCTTTCATTCAAACTGACTCTGAAGGTTGACCCTCCATTATAAGCGCCCCTGTGGTGGTAGGGTCGCTTTAGTGGGCAATATCACTTTTTAAAGGAAAACTGTCAACCTGCACATCCTACAGGAAAGAATGAATGCCCTTGGGCGCAGGCTGTCTGCATCCGTACCTGTACAGATGTACAAGTTCGGGTTGGCATGTAGCGGCATGCAGCTACTTCCTGTCATTTAGTTGTATAGACGGCTACACACACAGATTTCTGCATGGAAGTGAATGCTGTATGGCTGTGCACATCTGTGTGTTCCTTATCACCCATTGTAAAGGGTAATCCACTTCATGTACAATTTTTTTCCCCAACAAAACTCTGATGTTTAACCAAAATCATACAAATTAGTTTAACACTTTGTTAGAATTTTTGCATGTGTGTAGTGTGCATTGTAGTAGGCGTTCATGTAGAGGAAGTGGCCACCTGCAGAGTAGCCGCTGGTAGCCCAGTGGGAGTTCAGACGGGATGTTCATTATATGTACAAAAATAGATTTCCTGACCTAAATATGTTGGTTAATAATGTTGTCCCATCTTCTTATATAAAATGTAATATGTTGGGTGTCCTGGCTCTTTATTATATTTTTTGGTGGCACTTCTTCATACAGTTCCCCATTTCCTCCATCTCACCGTTCACTCCACTTTCTTTTACACTGTTCACTAATGACTTGTCTTCACACCGTTCAATCCACTTTTTTTTACACTGTTCACTAATGACTTGTCTTCATCACCCGGAGCCATGCTGCTATTGTCCTGCACGTCACCACCCGCCTTCTACATTCATCCTAAATTCTCTGCTTGAGCATCGTTCTCTATTTCTTTTTTGCTTTTGTTTATGCATGTACCCAATTTTTTTGTAACACAATTTGCCTTATTAGCTGCTAGTACTTTTACCTACAGCATGTACGGCCTGCATTTGTTTATTTTTCTAAAATAATATTTTGGCAGCTTGCCTCCTAATGCATGAGCCCCCTTGTTGTTAACCACGTCTTTAAATGCATGTGCTGACTTTTTTGTCCATGCCCCACTCTTGCCGACCATCTGTTTTATACCCCACCAGTCTGTTGTGTACAGATTTTGTTTTTGTGTTTGTGTATCTTCGCACAAACTTTGTAAATATCCATGGTCTAGTTGGCTAACCACATGCACTTTAATGTAATTATTGATTACACTTCCATTAGGATGCCCTCTGCTCTACCCAGCCTTGTGTGGCATCATAGATCAAGAAAGGACATCCACATACACTGGGTACCATGTACTTAGCCTTTGCATTTTCTGACCTATGCTGTTCAATCGATTCTGATTTTAAGCGTGCAGTAGTCTTCAGATGGCTCAGTTTTGGGGCTTGAAGTCCTGTCCTGTCTGTTCTGATGATCCTTAATTGTTCTCAAATTTTGCTTCTTTCTTTCCTGCTTTTCTATCCTCTTCTGCTCCTTTTCACTCCCGACTTCCCAGGTCGGTTTTTTGATGAGAATGAGTCCCCTGTAGATCCTCAACATGGTTCTAAAGTGGCAGATTATAACGGGGATGATGGGAACGTGGGTGAGTACGAGGCAGACAAGCAGGCAGAGCTGGCTTACAATGAGGAAGAGGATGGTGATGGGGGAGAAGAAGATGTACAAGGTGAGCGTGGGCCCTATCTGAATTCTTATATCTAAGCTACCCCCAATCTAGTTGATGGCCTGATCACAGCTCTCACAATCTTCTATTTTGTATCAAAATTCCTGTTATTGATGACATGTGGACGATGGAATAATGTAATTCGTAACAACCACTCAAACATCAGCTTTGATCAGTTTTGCTGCACTAATCTGTTAAATGGAATTTGTGACTGGTTGCTACGAGTTACAGTAAAAGATTGCTTATGTGTACTGCGTTATTAAAGCATGTTGGAGAAATCTGGGTTGCCATTACTGGGCATCTTTTAAAAATGTAAGTTTCTTGCTTGCCATTGACTTTTCAGTGCTTTGTTAGTCACTGACCTGGGTCAACTGTGCAGCAATTGAAGCCAGAACTCCTGGCCTGCATAGTTGTGTGGACCCGATGACTTGGTGGTGAAGCCGTATTAAAATGGCAACCAGGAAAATAGCATCTTTAGAGGCTCAACAATGGTACGGCTGCATTTCTGCCATGACGGGTTAAGTAAGTTGCACTGTATATGTATTATAGCTATAACTTTGCATGCATCACTTATAGTTTTAAGGTGGTATGAATTCTAATGGTTCCACTCTGCTCAGTTTTGAATTCTCATTCCTATGCATTTTATATTAATTATTCAGCAAGCTCACTTCAGGCTTTTTGTTGTAGGTACACCACATTTCTGTGAACAAAGCCACTGTATGTTTATTACAATATAAATTATGCTTCTCTTGCTACTTTCACAAGTGCAATGTGGGTTGAAGGTGCCTATTACATGTCTTTCTAGTGTTGTTGTATAGTGTTTTTTAATCTTATGCTTTTACTTTTGTATTCTAATTCTTATGGGGCAACCTGGGTGACTGCATCTACCCAGAAGCATTACAAAACGACCTTACAGGCTTTTTAAGTATATGAATAGCCAAAACTTTTTTCTTTCTCATCTACTGAGGTACACAAAGTCCAAAATCTTTGGGTTATACTGCCGTCTACAGGATTAAACGCCAGCAAACAAAATAGCTGCAAGTCAGCCAAGGGTGACCCCCCTCCCACTGTCAGCATGCCTCGTTTTTTTTGCTAGTGCCCTAGGAGGATAGATGTCTTGTTCTACAGATCTTCTGTCTTAAGACAATTTGTTTGCTAGTGGAAGGTTCCTAGAAACAGAGTTACCAGGTACGTAACTCCAATTTTTTGTCATCTTTGATTATTATTTTTAATCAATCAAGCCTCTTCTGTAGATCACTGCTGGAGCTTTATCTCAGTCATCCTCAGCCTGGCTCTTGGGAGTACTGCATCTGGTCCCCTTTGGACTGGACGTGTGGGAATAGCCTTGAAGTGACCTTTGGGCACTGGATTCTGTTTAGCGCCCTTTGCAGAATCCATTCTGGTACAATTTATTTGCGGAGTGCTTTCCATGTCCAGTGCTATAGGCACTGACTCGTTGCTTTCCCTGTCTCTGAAGACGCACTTGGTGAGTAGGCTTTTCAGGTTGAGCACCAAGAGCTACCTCGGTTACTGGGGTCGCTGGATGCCTTTTGTTTCCTGTTCCTGTCTGTTTTGTCACAGAAGGGGTTAATGTTGTGGGATTGATATGTCTATTAGGTGGAGTGTCACTCACTCTTTCCCACCATACATTGCCGAGGTTGCATCTCCCAGATTATGCTCCTACTTAAAAGGTGCCACATAGATCGGCCTTTGTTACGGTCCTGCTGTCCACCTCCAGTGACTTTGGTCACCTCCAGTCATTTGACCCACATATGCTAATTGCTCTCTGAGATAAAGGAGTACCTGAGATGTTACTTCCTACCTTGAGCCTATACGTTACCTTATTGCCATGCGGTGACATCTTGTCATTTTAGACATGTGAGGGGAGAATTGCTCCTCGGGTCAGTCTTCCAAGCATCTGGCACTGGAGTCGGGAGAAGTCCTCTCTTCCCATCTTTTGGAGGATCCTTGTGGCAGACCCCAGCCTGTCAGACTGGGGAGGATTTCTGGGCCCCCTGTCCATGCAGGGAACTTGGTCATCGGAGGAGTCTACTTTCCCAATAGGCATCCTGGAACATAGGGCGATTCGGATGTCTTTACCACGTTTGAACAGTGCACATAAGCCAATCTGAATTCAGGTGGACAACACCTCAGAGGTGGCATACATCAGTTACCTGGGAGAAAACAAGAGCGAGGTAGACCAGATCTTGCCCTGGGCGACCTTCATGTTCCAGCCTTGTCAGTTGTGTATAATCCAGGTGTAGGCAATTGGCAGACAGACTTAGCCTGCAGCACCTGCATGCAGAGTAGTGGTGCCTACACCCTGATGTGTTTGCAGGTGTGGGGCACCAGATGTGGGCCTCCTGGCCTCCAGGTTCAGTAACAAGCTGGGCACTGTCTTCGGGTACAGGAATCCTCTAGCGGAAGCAGTAGAGGCTTTGGTGGTTCTGTAGCATCAGTACACCCTGGTCTATGCCTTTTTTTTTCTCCACTAAAACTTTTTCCTCCTCTGCTTCACAGGATCGAGATAGAGGGCATTCCAGTGATCCTCATTGCTCCTGTCTGGCCTAGGCGGATGTACCATGCAGACCTAGTAAGAGTCCTGGCAGATGCTCAGAAAGCATGGCTGTTAAAGCCCAGATTCTGAAAAACAGGGGCATCCGAGTCTGTAATTTCTACAATGCTTAATGCTAGGAAGTCTTGCAAGGTCTATAATCAGACATGGAAGGCATATACATCACTTTGTGTGAGTCTCAGGGAGTCCTCCATAGGATTTTCTTAGTGGGAGGAATTCTACAGTTGGATTTTGGCCGTTGTCTGACTCTCTGCACTATCATGGCGTTAGGTTTCCTCCCAGAACCCCCCAACCATTTGTTCCTCTGTGACCTAAATCTGGTTCTCTGTACAATTCAAGAATTCCCATGTGAACCTATAGAAACGTTGCTCTCTCACTCACAAGATGGTATTTCTTGTAGCCCACATCTTGTCAAGGCTAGTGGTGGTGTTGAGGCCCAGGACTTCATTCTTGCTTAAGGTAGTTTTGCCTTTTTACCACTAAGTTCTACCAGGTGGTTGTTACAGCCTCATCTGATGCCAGCTTCAGGCCTCTGGCCTGATCTTCCAACTGCAGACAGTTCCCAGTTTTCTTGGGTCTGTTAGCAATTGTTTGCAAGTGTTGCCCACTCCTCAGTTGGACTGCTTTTAAAACATCCCAAAACGTAAGATTTCCTTTTGTCCCTCAATGGATAAAAAAAATAGGATTTTAGTATTCACAGTAAAAACCTTCTCTTGAACCCAATTAAGGGACACAGGTCCCATCCCTCTGTATTTATTTATGATCATGCTGTTAATATTGCTTTGCTACAAAACTGAGACTTGGTGGTAGTGGGATGTGCCCTTCTGGACTGGCCTACAGTTTTTTTTATTTGCCACCGTCTGCTTCCTGTAGGGGGCAGTATAACCTGAACGATTAAAATTATGTGTGTCCCTCAATGGACTTCAAGAAAAGGATTTTACGGTTAGTGTAAAAATCCTATTTTTAGTTTTAATTTTTTTTGCGTAGGAATGGGGGAAACCCTGTCAGTTTATTAGTCTTACTGTTGGTTTCCTATTGGAGACGCAACAGGGAGCGAGTAGAGACCTCTCCAGTGTGACAGTAGACAGTTGTCCCTGGAACAGGTGTCTCCATTGGAAGATTTCCTCTCACCTCCTTGTTCTGGTGGCAAATTTTTAAATTTTCTCTTGACTTTTTTTGTCTTGGTGACCAGGACCCATGGGCAAAGACAGCAATCGAAACCCATTAGAGGATCAACCCCACCCCTACTTTTTTCTCTTAAAAACATACACTTTAGTTGCAGTTGGGGATGTTCAGATACCAAGTACCATACTCGGTACAAGTACATGTACAGATACTTTTCCAGCTCCAAGTCTAGACTAGAGAAAAACTCAAAAGTTAGGAGGCAGCTGTCATTTTTAAGGAGCATACAGAGCTCCTGGGATTTGTGCATCTCCATTTTAGTTCAATCTGAGTTTATTCAAGTTTAAGAGTTTAGTACTTGGCGGGCTGTCGCGTGGGTGCCGCGTGAAGTAGGAGGCAATGTCCCGGGAGGAGGAAGCAGAAGCAGCAGCCCCAGGTGAGTCCCGATCGTCGGGCATAGGGGGAAAAAGGGTGGTAGAAGGCTGAATATGGACCATAGGAGAGTTCCGGTATAGCAGAGCTCCTGGCTGCACGTCCTCACACCACCATGGCTGGCCACGCCCCCTGCATCTCTATTTTAATGTATGGTATGTAATGGAATGCAGTGATGCCATTTTTTACAAGTACTGATACATTTTTGTTTGTCATGTGACAGTTTTTCTAAAACAATACAGACTAATAATTTCAGGACAGCGGTGGAGCGCCAGAGCCAGGTCCCAGCTGCAACCCTGGTAGTTCTTGTGAAAATGCCAAGTATCGGCACTGGTATCTGAACATCCCTAGTTGCAGTAGTTAAAATTTTGGCTTCTCTTAGTAGTTGTTGCTTTTTATTAAATTAAGCTGATTGTGATCCATCTAGTTAGTGTCTCAGACTTTGGTATTCATGTCTGTTTGTCATGTGCCTTTTTTGTTTTGTATGGGAATGTGTAGTCTTTCAGTTTGTTTAGCTATGCAGGCCAAAGACATCAGTTCGATTTTTGTAATTTTTTTTGTATTTTTAATTTGCCCATTTGCACCCTATTGTTGCTTTCATCTTGCTCCCCCACTACCTCAATATGCTGTCAGAGCCATCAAATATACTCTGTACTTCTGGGTATGGGGAAATATGCAAAGTCCTTCTGGGGCGTCTGGCAGCAATGGAGAGCACTGAGAAGAAAAGTGCAGGATATTTATAGAATTACCTCTCTTGTAAAGTAAAACTGTTACTTTGCCTTCCATAAGCACAGTACAAGTGTTCTTTGTTTTAAAGAAAGAACTTGTTTCTATGTAAATTTTGTAATTCTATATGTATTTGGAAGTAGCCCCGCTTACATACTCTTGCTTGTGCTTTTCTGCTCCTTCTCACAATGTAAGTCTATAAGTTGGTGACTCCCTGTTTTGGCAAATATCTCAACTCTTGTTAAGAAGTGAGGCCCAAAATTGCAAATTGTTTAATTGCATTCCCTGTGGCTAATTTACAAATCTCTAGTGTTCTATTAACAAAAACCTAGAAAACAAAGCATGTAGAAAGAAAAGGCACAAAAAAATGCAATAACACCAAAAATGTTATGAAAATGTACTATACATTCTAACCACAATGGAAAAGATTTGTACGGTAGCAGGTTCAGAAGTGCAGCACTTCAGATGTCAGTACAAACCCAATGCTTTGGGAAACGCTGGTCTAGTTGTATGATCGGCTAGAATTTGTAGAATCTGGCACACAAATTAAAGCTGGCCATAGACATGAGGCAATCATTATTGTGATTTTCTGCCACATAATACAACCTCTTCATGTCTGTGGAAACCTGTAGAAAACCTGACTGACCACTCACATTCTACCTGCACATTCAGCCCTTTTCTTTAGACCTATGGATGCTACCTGATTGGCAGACTTACAGATAAGACAAGTTGACTTTGACAACTCTCCTATGGAAAGCAGAATGACTGAATGTTATTCTCGGACAAGTTTTTTTTTTTTTTTTTTAGAGATTATATTTGTTTTAAAGATTAAAAAATAATTACAAAGGCAAGAAAAGTCAAAACGGAGCAAGGATTAGCCCAATCCCTTTCCCTATTAGTACAAGATCTGCCCACAGCATTCCCCACAACTAGTCTTCCTATGGGCGATCAAATAAAACCAAGAAACCAGGGAGGAGAGGAAAAAGAGAGGAGCGCTAAGAGTCTAGAGCAGGGGTGGCAAACACAAAGCCCGCGGGCCGAATCCGGCCCGCCGGACCTTGTAATGTGGCCCGCCGGACCTTGTAATGTGGCCCGCACAGCAGCCACCTCATTTTGCTCCGTCTCCGCCTCCGCCCTGTCTCATGGCCCTATGTGATACATCACTGCAAAAACCCACGCCGGCCACAAGATGGCGCTCCGTTCCATCGTGACCATCGTGTTCTCTCCCCCACCTCCTCATCTACCGCGCATGCGCAGATTGTGGGCCGGGGGTCGGGCAGCGCTTCGGGCGGAGAGGCAGCAGGGGATGGAGAGGGAGTGACCCGGGGTCCAGCAGGGGATTCGGCTGGGTAAGTGGCTGCGTGTATGTGTGGGGCAGTTGCGGAGGAAGCGGAGTGCATGGTGCTGGAAGTTGCAGTGATGGTTGGTGGAAGGTGTATGCTGTGTAGGAATGTGCAGCAGCACCAGGCGTGGAATATAAACGTGTGATAAGGATGTATAGTCATCATCCAGAGGTGCAGAGATGGGCACATGTGAGTAGATGCATAGTCCTATACAACCGGCCCTTTGAGGGTAACCATACTGCTGATGCAGCCCCCCGATGAATTTGAGTTTGCCACCCCTGGTCTAGAGTGATAAGAAAGATAGTGGTCCAGAGAGAACAAACGAGGTGGGAGGGGGAGCAGGGGTATTCGGTCAGGAAAGCAAAATCCTGTAGCAATATAAGGAGAGGTCAGGCAGAGAAACCTCAATTTAGACGTCACAAAGAGGAGACGGGCTATCGCATTGGAAAGTGATGACCTGATATATCCAAGGTTTCCAGATGCCACAGAACTGGGCATAACTGTCATGTAGATTGGCCGTAGGTGCTGCATTTCATCAAACCATTCCTCAAAAGAAGGTGTAGAACTTTGTTGGGGAATTACAGCCCTAGCAGCAAGAAGAAGAAACGGAGGAGACACTTAGCCAAGGAGACTGCACCCGGAAGAATGTAGAGAAGGGCAAGTTTGGGGAAGCGATCGACTGGCGAAACAGAGAGGCGGTCAAAAATAGCAGTCCAAAGAGGTAACGAGAGAGCAGGTTCCTTTCCCATTCAGCCATATAGTAGGGAACACCAGGTGTTTCGTAAGTCAAAAGGAGGTCATAAAGCATCCAAGAAGGGCCATTGTTACGAGAACAAAATGCTTCAAAAGGCTTTCTCTCTGTGGAGAGTTGTCTTATGGGTCAAAGAGGTATAGAAGTCCCTCCAGTTATCCTCGAGAGTTGTTATGGAATCCAACTGTTCTGAGCTAGATGCTTACGTGTTAGGGCTAAGGTGACCATCATTGTACTTTTTTTTTTTTTTTTTTAATGTATTTTTATTAGAATATTTCTTGTAGATTTACTTCTGTTCTCTGTTGCCTAGCTCTCATTGCACTGTTCCATTTGCGATGTATTAAGTGTAATATTAGAACATTGTAATTCTAACATGTAATCTGTTTTTGTAGATGATGAAAATGATGGTCAAGGGGATGCAGCAGAATATAGAAAAGACCACTTTGGTGAGACCCTGTAACCTGTGACCTGGACAGAAAAATGAAATGGATCAAACGTGCCAAGCGCCAGGGCTTACTTGTACTGTAAGAGAAGGCCCTAAAGACCAGTAATGGGTCTCATACACACACTGGTGCAGGGGAGGTTCAGGACTGTCAATCAGCTGCTTGCCCCCTTATGTTTTGATGGAGAAGCCCGTTAACATTGCTCAAAAAAGGTACCGTATGAAGGCATCTACAGCCTCCATCACAGGCTGCTTGTGACTGTAGAAGTTGAGCTTCCTGACTGATGGACTCCTAAACCCCCTTACTTGGTCTGTAAATATGAACCTTTTGCTGGAAATTTAATTCAGTTTCTTCTTGATTTTATCTTTGTAACTTCCAAATCGAGATTCCCAAAACTATCTTGACTGAAATGTGAATACATTGTTTTTGAAACCAGGCCACACAGGATCTCTTCTGCAAGCATGATTTCACCTTAGATACATGAAAACGCGGACACTCCTCTAGTATATGCGCAGAAATCCCCAACAGGATCCAAACCTTTTGCTGTAGACCCGGCAGATCATGTGATTTGTGACCAGTTCCTTGTGATGGGCTGCGTCCTAGTACATTTTTTTTTTTTTCTCCCTCAAGCGGCGTCCGTTCTTCCTTGTGTAAGCAGTATGACCAAGTACCAGTTCCTCTGCAGATATTTATATATTGTTTTTGTATGTAAGTTGTGTAAATAGAAGCCGTAACACACGTTTGTTTGTAAAGCAGAGACTGCAACTCTAATTTGAGTCAGGGGGGTCGGCTATGAAGAATACACATCCAGAATGTTAATGATGAATTCTGCACTTACCGCTGCAGATGGATCCAAGGCCAGTGCCGCATCCGTTAAAGCTCTCTTGTGGCATTCGCTTTGAACTCCTGGTGGGATGTGTGTAAATACTGTATGTATATTTTCTTCTAGATGGGGCATTAGGTGCGTTTACCACAAGAATCTGGTGATGTTGGACAAGCCCGTGCTTCTGTCGGAGGATGGGATTGTTGCAGCCATAATTAGTAGCTCCAGTGCATGAATAGCAATCGATTTAGACAACTAATTGTTAAATTTAAAACAAACAACATTGCCATTGACTGACTGTGTGATTCTAATCCGCTTTTTGAGAAACTGATTATCCTAGCACAAAGGAGCTACTCTCCGCATACAAACACGCCGTCCATCTGTGTATATTTATATTACGCATTGCCTTCTAGCAATGGAAGCAGTCATTTTCTGATGAAGCCAATATTCACGTCAATACCTTCTGCTAGTTTGTTGCAAATTTATATAGCTGCCATGGAACCAGTATGCAGCCCCTGAAAGAATGGCAGCTTCCATCTGGCTTTTCACACAGGTACCCAACCCATTTCCATTTTTTGCAGATAATCGGTACCTGTTAATCATGTGCTTTCGCATATTGGCTTTTTTTTTTCTTCTGTAATCAGCAGTCTTTCAAAAAAGGTTAATGATTGAAATAAACATTGTTCCGAATACCTTTTTTTTTTTTTTTACGAATACCTTTACATGCATAGTAGGATTCCCAGATATCTATTTTATTACTTACATCACAATCCTCACTGTAATTCATTTAGGAATACGTTTGTAAGCTAATGACAACTAATCAGCTCTTGGAGATCACATTTTATTGCTCCTGATTTATTTAAACCTGAGACCAGTTTTAATTGTATGTTTTGTTGTTGTTGTTTTTTTTTTCTTAACTTTGAAAATCTGACTCCAATTAACGGTTTTAACCTTTTTGTGAGTGTGCGCCCATGGGGCGACATCAGCTGTACCCCAGAAACCGGAGTTTATGTCCTGTAGTGCTGGGGGGAAATACATTGGCAATCCTTAATAAATATAGTTAAAAAAGAGCAACTTGTGTGGATTATTCTAGAACCTACTCCTATACATTCCTTGCAAGATATAAATTTTAAGGCACTTTGCAACCTCCCTACCGTCGTATTGCAATAACATGGGGAGGGAGATGTGTATTTCTGGAAGGGCATCTGGAGACAGCCTTCTGCAAACGTCCACTGGATGGCGCTGCACCCGTTGCATCCTCCACGGCACCCGGCTCATTCACAGCATTTTAGAGATGGCATAAATGGGTTGAGTGTACACAGAAATTGAAAATCGTTTGGAGAGAGAGGAAGATTTTTTTTTTGGCAGAAGAGATTTTGCATGCATCTTCTGCCAAAAAAAAAATCACTCCCAGCTATTTTTTTTTTTTTTTTTTACTTCAATCTACCTGCATGGAAAAAACATTTGTATTCATAACTGCAGCTAACCATAGCGAATTTATCAGCGTTCATCTTAAGACCAGACCCCAACAAGACTGGTTCCATTTGGTTGCTATTGGTACAGCACTTACGAATTGGCATTTAATTAAAGCAGAAGTAGACAGCCAAACAAAATGTAGTGTTTTGGGCTCCCAGAAGCTTTTTGCCATAATGTGCTAAGCATGGCAGACCAAGCAAAGAGATCCCTTCCAGTGCTGCGATGTCCATGCTCTCGCCTCCATTGCCGGTGCTTCCATCTTCACTTTGGTCGGCTTCCGGGTTCTGAAGCTTCTCGGGGGGGATAGCTTAAAGCAGGGGTGGGCAACTACGGCCCTCCAAATTTGTGGTTACTACAAGTCCCATGAGGCATTGCAAGACTGACAGTTCTAGGCATGACTCCCAGAGGCTCAGGCATGTTGAGATTTGTAGTTAAAGCACAGCTGGAGGGCTTGAGTTGCCCAACCCTGGCTTAAAGGAGAACTATGGGGTTAAGGCTTTTCCCCATAGTTCTCCTTAGGGTAACGGGAGGACACAAACTAGCGTCCTTCCGTCACCCTAAGGTCAGTATACCGCGAGCTACAGCTGGCGGTATACTGAGACGCCGCGAGCTACAGATGGCGGTATACTGAGACGCCGCCAGCTACAGCTGGTGGTATACTGAGACGCTGAAGCGGATCCCGTCAATTATGCCGGGATCCGCCCAGCTGCTTGAGTGACAGGTGGCTCTGCCTATCTAGAGGCAGAGCCAGCTGTACCCTCCCCCGTCCGTTCCGCCAGTCAGCGCTGGAGGATCGGAGGGGGGAAGCCTGCCCCTCCCTGTCACGGCAGACAGCCGTGACAGGATCGAGAAGTGAGCGAATGCCGGTATGTGTTCAATCCCCGATCTACAGTCTCATTGTCACAGGTCGGCTAGAACTATGAGGAGTGAAAAGCACTCACCTCATACTTCTCCTTTTAAAGTGATATTAAAGTAAAATTAATGTTTAAGCTATTTCAAACACTCTTTTTTTTTTTTTTTTTTTACTTCAATCTACCTGCATGGAAAAAACATTTGTATTCATAACTGCAGCTAACCATAGCGAATTTATCAGCGTTCATCTTAAGACCAGACCCCAACAAGACTGGTTCCATTTGGTTGCTATTGGTACAGCACTTACGAATTGGCATTTAATTAAAGCAGAAGTAGACAGCCAAACAAAATGTAGTGTTTTGGGCTCCCAGAAGCTTTTTGCCATAATGTGCTAAGCATGGCAGACCAAGCAAAGAGATCCCTTCCAGTGCTGCGATGTCCATGCTCTCGCCTCCATTGCCGGTGCTTCCATCTTCACTTTGGTCGGCTTCCGGGTTCTGAAGCTTCTCGGGGGGGATAGCTTAAAGCAGGGGTGGGCAACTACGGCCCTCCAAATTTGTGGTTACTACAAGTCCCATGAGGCATTGCAAGACTGACAGTTCTAGGCATGACTCCCAGAGGCTCAGGCATGTTGAGATTTGTAGTTAAAGCACAGCTGGAGGGCTTGAGTTGCCCAACCCTGGCTTAAAGGAGAACTATGGGGTTAAGGCTTTTCCCCATAGTTCTCCTTAGGGTAACGGGAGGACACAAACTAGCGTCCTTCCGTCACCCTAAGGTCAGTATACCGCGAGCTACAGCTGGCGGTATACTGAGACGCCGCGAGCTACAGCTGGCGGTATACTGAGACGCCGCGAGCTACAGATGGCGGTATACTGAGACGCCGCCAGCTACAGCTGGTGGTATACTGAGACGCTGAAGCGGATCCCGTCAATTATGCCGGGATCCGCCCAGCTGCTTGAGTGACAGGTGGCTCTGCCTATCTAGAGGCAGAGCCAGCTGTACCCTCCCCCGTCCGTTCCGCCAGTCAGCGCTGGAGGATCGGAGGGGGGAAGCCTGCCCCTCCCTGTCACGGCAGACAGCCGTGACAGGATCGAGAAGTGAGCGAATGCCGGTATGTGTTCAATCCCCGATCTACAGTCTCATTGTCACAGGTCGGCTAGAACTATGAGGAGTGAAAAGCACTCACCTCATACTTCTCCTTTTAAAGTGATATTAAAGTAAAATTAATGTTTAAGCTATTTCAAACACTAATGAAATCACTTACAATGGATGCCGCTCCTTGTTTGCTGTAGAATCAGCTGGTCTTGATATTCTGCTTTAGGGTAGCTCCTTTCCTTTGCAGGGTCCTTTTCAGCTCCCCACTCCTCCACCCTCCCTTCTGCAAGCTAGTAGATGGTCATCTGCTGGAGACTGCTCTGTCCTTTGTGGTATTGTACTGGACAGGAAGTTTAGTGAAGTGGAGCTGAGAGAGTTGGAGCTGTCAGGAAACATGATTGATTTTGGAGTTACTCAGCCCCAACACAGAATCTAGCTGAGACTGTACACTGAGCTGCACATGAGGGCTTATTGCACACTTGCAGAAAAATAGCGCTGACAGGCCGGCATCTGAGACTCAAGAGACATACACAATTTGTCATAAAACAGCCTGTCTGTCAGCACTTTTTAGCAACTTTACTTCTACTTTAAGAGCTCTTTAACTGTCTGAGAGCAGCTGTGGACAGTAACCTACAACACGCAGGAGAAGTTATTGTTATTTGGGGCTGCATCTGGTTTACCAGCTAAAAGTGAATGGTTCCCTATGTCTCCACATGCTGCGTATTCACAGTGGCTATGTATTGATGTAGTACCTTTTGTATTGGCAGTTCTATGCTGCATTTTAATTTTTTAAAATCTGAAAGCTGCTTGAACACATGGGTGTAAACTTCTATAAATGTGTAAAAGAATTCAACTATAAAACCAGAGCTTTTGTTCTTCAAGAGGGGAAAAGTGTGTATTGTTCTAGTATGAGTAAGCACAGCAGACCTCAAATTCTAGCTGCAAGTCATATATTTGTCACAAGA